CCCGTCCCTGGTCTACCAAATTGGTCAAGAGGGGATGACAGCGCGTTTATTTTGGGTAAGTAAAGCACCTTCTAAAGCTCAATGTGAAGAATTCTTGTTCCAGAACCACGACTACACAAACTTAAGATCCTCGCAATTGACGGTTCGCCACCTGGACACATAGAAACTGAAGCCGTTGTGATTGAAACTTTGAACGAGCTTAAGGCACGAAGTTTTGAACTGTTTATAGAAAGAAGTATTTAAAATTAAGTTCTAGACAAAGAACATAAGAGGAAAGATAGTTGTGACAGCACAAAAGTGGACGGGATATGGGGCCACGCTAAAATACAGGAAGATTGCTGGCGAAGCCGCTGAACGTGGGGCAGCTGCAGTACTTGTAAAATCAGTCACGCCATTCTCGCTCTACACACCCCATACTGGAGCTGGTGCAAGAGGTATTACTTTCCGTTGGAAACATTAGTTCTGTTATACACCCTATTTTTCATTCATTGCATGCAGAGAGCGCATAATATTTGGCTGATTAAAATTGTTACTCTACATCAATGAAAATCACTTGTGCCAGCTGAGGACAGAAGGGGAGACAAGTTTGTGAATAGCACTGAAAGGAAGTTCATCGTTCACAATCTTCTCTTGACCACAGTAACCGCATTTCTTGAGTAGATAAAAGAATTATTTTTTAATACATTTAGATTAAATATATAGGTTTTGCAGTTAAAAGCTCTGCAAATTTTAAATATTTTTCTTGGCTCAAATTAGTTCATTTCTTCTGATCTCATATGTGTCATACAAACTCAAGCCATTTCCATTCAGTGCCATTGTTGTTCCTCCCATAAGTTCACTGCTACATCATTTTAATTTATTCTTGCTCAATCTTCGAAGTATACATGCGGAACAAGTCCCAGTCAAGTTCACTACCAGAAACTGTTTTGAACTTTTAAAGTCTTCATTGATAAGTGAAATGATACGGATCAAGGAAAACTAATAGTTACAAAATTATTGACTAGGAACTTCGACAAATAATTGCGCCCCGTAGAGCATCTAT